GATATGCTTTCTGAACTATCCGATTAGGAAGTCATTATGTCCTGATCGCTCCTTTGTCCTTGGCCGTATTGAGGAATGATCCGAACCGCTCGTCGAGGTTATCAATTCGTTTCATATCGGCTACTCTTTACTAATTGCCAAAGTTTCCACTACATGTATGAAAAAGTAACCTACACTGAAAAGCTGCCATTTTAAGGGTTTAACAACTAGCAGTGAGTGATTCGCTCAATATCGACAATCTCGTGAGTTCTATAGTTTAACGAGCAGGCTTGCATTTGTCCCTTACTTTTCGCGATTTCAGCGACCCCCAAACTGCATTTGAATCACACCACTCTTCGCAATTTCCGAGTGACTTCTGCGTGACTCGGATTCCCACGGAATGACACTGATGGTAGAGAAGCTGGCCCACATGAAGAGCTATGAATCGGATTACTTGTCTCAAGCTTTGTGACGAATTCCAATAACCTTCAGAAACTTTTCAAAATGGATAGGTGTATGGGGGTAGTGACGGCACGGTAACATAATTCAACACTCAACATAAGATTATTTGTACTTATTACATAAGTTACATTAAGAGTGTGTATGTGGAGGTTAAAGAAAAGATAGCGTTGAAGCCATGGCGATGGGTCACAGGGTCAGTGAGGGCGGGTACGGGTCACCTGCCAACGAACTGCTGCTATATAACGCATCTTGGATCAGGCTGACGTGGAGCATAGCTGTTCTCTCAGTTTCCTCGCAAAAAGGCGGAGGATTAGGCAAATGGCTCGACATCTCGAAAACAGTGTCGCTTTAGCAGGCTTCGGATGGAGTAATGGCAGTATTTGGGGAGCATTTCACTCGAGCGGGAAGTCTGAGGTGGCTTCGGATGAATTTCGTGGTATGTTAGATCATCAGACTATTAACATCGGCTCGGATGACCGTCATTATTCTTCTGCTGACTTCGACTTTTCTCACCTATTCCTTTTTCTCACCCTTGCTCAGCGATGTGCACTCTCTTCTGCAATATGCTTTTCCCACGTTTGTTGTAGTCGATATCTAGTAGAGCCAAAACAAACAGAATGGCTGCAGTAACATGAAGAAACGAAAGAGCTCTCCTTTCTTCACAGAAATTTATAGGACAGGGTAATCTCATTCTCCACCCTATGAACGGCACAGGTACGGTCCCGAGGACGGTGCGAACTACGGGGAGCGGCACTGTGAAAGTACGCGCTATGTTTTTATGCCGAAAAACGGACAAACAGTGTCGTTCATATGATCCTTTCGCTGTCTGTGGAACTCCTCTTTCCAACTCTGTCCTCTACTCGTCCTCACGTAATTTGTCATTGCTTTTTGTTATTTTCACGAATGGATCCACTCACATCTCATTCTTAGTTCGCACTCTCGCAAATGAAAGGTGCCTGCATGAAAGAGGACGCTACGCGAAGGAAGAAGGAAAATTCCGGAAAAAGAGACGGCCGATAGTCCATGAGACGTCTTGGGAAGGGAAGTTCAAAGGAGACCCAGAAAATGATGCGCAAGTGAAAATGTGACCACAAAAGAAATTCATCTTGAAAATGCACCATTTCTTACTCGAACTCCGGTAAGGAATTTTACCGCAAAATGGCAGTTTATCAGAAAACAGAAAGATTAAGCCCGCTGATAAGGGGTCCACAACGTCAATTGAATTTAGGCTGAGTCACAACTAGAATTNAGGGAAGTTCAAAGGAGACCCAGAAAATGATGCGCAAGTGAAAATGTGACCACAAAAGAAATTCATCCTGAAAATGCTTACTCGAACTCCGGTAAGGAATTTGACCGCAAAGTGGCAGTTTATCAGAAAACAGAAAGATTAAGCCCGCTGATAAGGGGTCCACAACGTCAATTGAATTTAGGCTGAGTCACAACTAGAATTAAAAAAGTGTCCATCACACATGAAAATGTTTTGAGAAGAATAGGAAAGTTCACTTGAGGAATGTACTGATGACACGAGGTCATATATACAGCCATGCATCGAACTTCCAGTCATTCTCCGCCTTGTACATGCGCCAAACTATGACTCTTCAGCGTACTCAGCATTTGGCCTGAAAGGTGTTTAGCAAAAACCTGTAAAAGCTTAACAACCCCAACGGTCTCATTGCATAAGCTATGGAACATCAAGTGGGAACAAGTGTCATGGCAGTTTTCGACAACTATAAAGAACTGTAACAGTTTCTGGTAGCGAAACCTCTTATTTATTATGGATGACCTTTTAATAGTACATAATAAAAGAGAAATAGATATAAACAGCTGTTCTGCAAATATATACAAAGGTAAGGTGGAGAATAAAAAACACATATTACAGAAGAATAGTCTAACTACTTGAACCTTACCATGAGAGTAGGTAGATGGACTTATCACGAAACTTTATAACAAAACTGTTGCATTAACTTTCAAAGTATTCGATTCCCTCATTTTGATACTAATATATCAACTAAAACTAAGTCGTCGGTAATTTAAACTGAAACTGTTGGAATTTCTTATACATGCACCGATTCCAGCCCTTTCGTTTTAAGACTAAAGGAAATGATAGAGATACTCACATTATCTGGATATGATAGGATCATTATCAACTCTAGTATTGTTGGATGTATCTATAATAACAAATACATCGGATACAAGTTCAATCTCACTAGCAATAACAATAATGTTACCAAAATCGTTGAAACCACCCTTTATAGCGCTAATTAGAACTTCTTACTGCCTATTTTACCTATTTTACCTATTAGTTATCCTACTTTAAACATTATTTTTTATCAATGCACCTCATTACAGCTAAATAACGTTTGAACTAGTCGCTCAGTAAATTTGGTTACAGGTAGCGGAGGCGAAACGAATCACTTTTACGTTTATAAAATATCAAATTGTTAACACTGAATTTGTTTTTATTTGCTACTAACGAGATTCGCGCATTGAGCAGTCGACTCTGCTCTAGCTCTACCCATTCTGGGCTGTTGTTACTATTGTATTTTTCTTGATTTCTGTCAGTATTTTTGTTTTCTTTCCTGATCATCGCTTCCGAAGAGGTTGAGGCAGTCGGTGGTCTTACAATCTGTCTGTACCTCTTAATTCTTATCTGTTGAATCGATGGCTACCGCGCCGCGCCGTTCGTCTTCGGTACCGTTCAGGAGATCAAGTCTGGATCTATCTCCGCAAGTGGAACGCCGCGATGTTTTCTGTTGTCAGTTTTCCGCCTTATGTCAGCTCAGTCCTTGAAGTTTCGTCTGATTCTAAGAAAGAAATCTCAGAGATAGCTCGAGAGTGTCGAGATACAATCGCTGAGAATAGAACACTAAGAGTAGAAAATGAGTCTTTGAAAAAGCAACTTAGCTCTTTTATGTCTACCCAATCTTCTCAGTCCATCCAGTGCAGCACCGAGGCCGGACCATTGCCAGCCAAGAGCCCCACTCCCGTGACGGATTCTGATCTACTTCGCTCGATTGTGATTGCTGGGATGTTGGAGAATCGATCGCCCAACTCTGTTGACCGGGCAAGTTATGACTACCATTGCACACGTTCCATTCTCAATTTTCTTGGTATTGAATGTCTTTCTCCCGTGGTGTATCGCATGGATGTTTCCCACCTAGTAGGTCTCGACTGGTGAAAGTTATCTTACCCTCTTCTAGGTTTCTGAGACTAACATTGCAGCGTGCCCAGCGCCTGCGATCCTTTTTCTGGAAAGGTATTTTCCTTCGCCCTCTTCGACCAAAGAAGAAAAGGAAAGCAGGCCCAAGGAGCGCGTTTGTCCAGACTTTCTCCTACATGTGATCCTGGTCCTAATAATTCTTTGGTTTCGCATGGCATTTCGCACGTTGCTGGATCGGTTTAGACTGGTAATTCGGTGCCTCAACCAGCAAAAGAATTAAACCTCTAACTCACCTTCGGAGTTAAGAGCTAAGTGTCAGAGTTTATTGCATGATGTCGAACGTAGGATCCTTATTTGAGGAGTGTAAATCGGCATATACGATGCTGCATCAAAATGAATACGATCCAGTTTTTCTAGCGGAATCGTGCCTTAGCTCTGTATTGAGCTCTCGTTACTGTTAGGTGTTGTGGGATCGCAATGTAGCGATGCCAGATGGCATTGGTAAAAAGGGTGGTGGAGCGTTGCTACGTATCAGGCGATTCTTCCCTACAACGTGGTATCCAGGAACCAGTTACTGATGCATGTGCAATCATGGTTGTTGGCGCTTTTTTTCAATCTTGTCATGTTAGTTTTATAATGGTTTATAGGACCATGTTATGTCCACGCTTCAGCAATGCTTCTTGAAGCTATAAGTGATTACCTACAACGGTCCCACAATCGTTCTCGATGATTTCAATTTTCCTGGTGTTTCTTGGGAAGAAACTTGCGTTGAAAATCTTATTTTGAAGGCTTTCGTCGATCTCATAGATTTATACAACTAGTTCGCGGTCCCACCTGAGGCAAGTCTTCTCTCGATCTCATTACGAGGATTGTACTTCTTCAACTTCTTGCCACTGAAGCAGCGCCCCACCACTATCTTATTGTACCGGCACGTCCAATAAATTGTGAGTTCAACTTCTAGCTCGACTACCAGTTGCGCTCACACACACACCGGAGCACCCGAGGCTCCATTACATAGGGGCCGAACCGATTTGACTCCGTCAATAAGGTAGGCTTCAGGGCAGTAAGAAACCAGGAAGTCCCCAGGTTTCTGAAAAACCCTTAGCGAGCAGTATGGCCCATTTGGTTGATAGAACGGCGGACTCGACAAAGCTGCTAGACGGACAGCCCTTACAAGTTGCGCTGTGAAGTGATCTGTCAGTGCACTAGGTGGGACAGAAGAGAACGGTTTTTGCACGGCAGACCGCTGCGCAAAAAACGTTTTCTTTGCAGGACTACTGAAACTTCCTTATCTGTTCCATCAAAACTCAGGGGATAGAATTCGATACCGAAAAGGTAGCATCGAATCAGTAGCTTATCTTTGACTGAACTTTAACGAGACCTGTTTCAGAGCGAAGCAATGTCAGACGACATGGAGAAAGAAATGGATAGGCTGCTAGAAGAAGATGTTGCACGGGACACCAAAATGGACGAGGTGCAGCAAGAATTGGCGCAGCTCAGAGCAGAAGTGCTACAGCTAACGCAACAGAACCAGCAGCAGGTACGGGCCACAGTTACGCACTGCGTGTCAAGATTGGCGAAACTGCAAGAGAGAAAAGCATAGCAATCATGTTAGGTGAAGGGGAAACCACCTCACCAGAGGATCTGGAAAAAGGACTATATAGATTGCTGGAACCGGAGTGTAAGGCGATAAGGGAGTCGCTGGACCTCCTTAATGAGTTAGCGGACCGGGTTGTGCAAAAGGCATCAGAGGCAAAAGGCTTGCAAAACACAGCGAAGAGCTAGAAACTGCATTCGAACAGGCACGGCATGATGACAAATGCATGCGCGCACTATCGAAGATGTTGAAGGTTAGGTCCACCGAGGTGGTTAGAGCCGTAGGTAATCTGGTCGAGCCGATCCAAACAATGGGTATCGAACAGGCCCAAACTGGTCGGAAGCTTCTGCCATCTAGGGAACCACTGCTCTTTGACACCCCTAAGTCCGCACAAACGTATCTTTCACAGGCTCCTAGGTCCACAGAGCATTTCGTTTGCTCAGTGCTAATAACATATCGTCAGTCGCCGCACTACCACCTATTGAGTTTGATGCTGTCAGTGCAGCTCAAGGTAGGGGTTATCAAACCAAGGCTTTCTTACGGAATGTGGGATGAAAGGCAGTCCAACGGACGAGATCATTTTAGAGAAACGCTGTCGAGAACGAGCTCCACCAAGCTATGATGCCACCCATGCCAACACGGGACAACCACCAGAGAGGTTGGTCTCCAGTTTTTAGCGAAATGAGTTTCCGAGTTGATAGTGGGGTGGGAACAGCGCTGGCTGCCATGGCTCTTCTGGAGGTCAAAGAATTTAGCGATCCAGATGGTGAGGGGTTCACTGAGTTCGTAAGGTCGTTCTCGATGAAATATGGCAGGATTGGTCTCCCAGACGATATGCTAATCCACCTTATCAGTGAGAAACTAGTAGGGTATCCAAAAGCTCCCTATTAGAACCAAACAGGGCAAATTTGCCGATTTTGTGGCCGCTCTCAAAGCTAATTTCGCCGAGAACACTTCAGCAAAGCGGATGGAATCGCATGTCAAGCTAAAGTAGCTTACGATGTCAAAGTCTGTCTCGGAAAACTGCGTGCAGCTAGAAAATTTAACACGGTCCGCAAACCCTAGTGAGTCAGAAACGGATTTGTCAATGGTGAGAGTGAGTGAACTCATTTCACAACTCACCGATTGGTCCGAGTATTTCCAACTTTTTGCTGTCATGGAATCAGCAGCACCACACGAGGTCTATGAGGAGCTAAAGAACCTCACTCAAAGAATTGAAAGAAGTAAGAAGGTGGCGGCAGCGATGAGATCCGCCTTGGAAGTTAAGCAAGTGGACGACCGGAGGAAGCCACGGTGACCCTTGCCATTCCCAATACTACGAGAAAACGCTGACCAAATGGGGAACATCCATATCCGTCACCCAGCTAGCGGCGGTTCGCCTCAAAACCCAGAGTCGGTGCCGAGTGGCACATCACTGCAGACAGACCGCAGACTCTGCCGTATTTGCAAAAGGCCAGGGCACTTTCAAAGATGACAGGGATAGGCAACGGAATGAGCAAAGATTTGCGGAAAATGTCCAGTCGGTAGGTAGGTCCCATATGGAACAGTCTAAACGCATTTACTACCCTCCTGGAAAACTGGTCTTGCCGTGCCACAGGGACGTGGCAACGTGAGAATGAGATATTTGGTAATAAAACCCTGTGCAACATGCAGCTCTTAGGGTTTACTAAGAAATCCGTGGTGGGTACAGGATCCCAGGTAAGCATTTTGCCAGTGCAAGTGCTGCTGGATGCAGCCAAGTCGGGTTTTGATCTAGACGCAGACGTAGAGGAAGTGAAGGCGGATGACAAGATAAACATCTACGATCCTTCTGGTCGCAAAATGGCATTCAAGGGTGCTGTGAGACTCAGCCTTGCACTGCAAGAAGAACGCTCACGACGAGTAGTGTTTTTCGTGAAACGAGGGAACGACAACACAATCGTGCTGGGGACAAACGTATTACGTGCAAGGTTGTGCAGGTTACAACCGTTGCTGAAGCCAGTTGCAGAGATGAAACGGAACTCTGTGAGCGTTCAGACGCTGTGCAGTGATTCTGAGAAGCGGGCTGTCGCCCCTCAGACCGCTCCTTTTCCAAAGAGTAATCCAAGGAAAAGTTCATCAAAAGGCTTCCCGCGTGAAAGGGTGAAGGAAAAGAAACTGGTGGAAAAGGAAGTAGCTAAGCCACTCAGCACTACCATAGCCGCGAGAGTGTACTTGAAACCGGGTGAAACTAAGTACGTTTCAATAAGCGGCATACCTTCCAAATCCACGCAAATTTTGTGGTCTGACTGCGACCTAATACCCCATGCTGTTTGCAGGTCAGGGAAAACAGAACCG